AAAATCTTAGATAACATAATTCCAACTCCACTTGCTTCACCTGAGGTTGGATGGTAATGTTTCGAGGCCAGGGTATACAGACACATGTTTACTTGTGCTTACTTGTGACAATTGACACAAAACTTTGACATATGTCCTCTCTTTTGCTCTTGCCAGGAGGAAAGCATATCAATAAAATATAAAATTATATAAACATATAATAATTAAAAAAATATAGATCATTTATTATTGAACTAACTATAATTTCTGGAGTTTTGTTTTACGTAAACAATCGTTTGTCATGCGTTGTCCTTGCGAAATACACTAAGTGAAGAAAACACCCTAGAGAAAAAACACTGTCTTTTTGCTTGAAAACGTTTGTCGTACCCATCGTGTTCAACACGGATGCTCTGCGAGCAACCTTGAACATTATTTTTTTTTAAAAAAATGAGAAACATGGAAAACCCAGGAAAACAAAAGGCAGCAGCGTTGCAGTATCAACTCTATTTTTTGTTTATTTCTGTCTTCAATAACCCAAACCTACCTTATAGAGGACCCAGGGAACCAAGGTAGCACATTACGTTTGGTGAACAGTTCCTCCAGCTGCCCCTCAACATACGGCAGTCAAAGCAGCCCCAAAGGTTCGATCAGAGAAGAAACCCAAAAAACACGCCGCTCAGCTCCGAAAGCTCCATCGACCCCATCAACTGATGCTCCTTCAGCCCCAGTGAATACACCTCCACCTTCAATTCAACCGGACTTGGCAACATTGGGCTCTACGACTCAACAGCTTGCGGAATCTGTTCGTCTTATCCAAGCCCAACAGCAGATGATCCTTGACTCCCAACGTCTTCAAGAACAACGTCAACAGCTTCTTCAACAAGACAGACCACCGACTGGCCCTGCACCTCCACCGCCATTGCCCGCTGCGACGCCACCAACGCCTTTGCCTCCACCTGCCCCGAAAGCCAGACCCATTGAGCCTACCGCTCCGGACCACACTATTTCAGAGACTCCACCAGCACCCATTCCTATTCCTTCGACATCACCACCGCGAAGACCCAGATCCAGGACGACAAGAAGATCACGTTCCCTTCGATCGCCTGCACTAGCCCATCGCCGACAACCTTCACGTCACCGTCCAGAACGACCTCGGTCTCCCCCTCCTCGACACAGATCCACCACCAATCATCCCAAGGATCGCAGAACACCTTCCCCTTATCGACAACGCTCACCACCCCGACGACGTTCACCACTACCTCATCGACGACACCGATCACATCCTACACCACGCTCACGAACTCCCCGTCGTCACCATCGAAGCCATGAAATTGTATTGAGACCAGCACCACGTCCTTCGGATCCTGCTTTCATTCCCACACCGGACTTTGATGATTCCTGGGGCAATTGGAACAACAACGATTATCCAGAGACTCATCGCCGTGGCACCCATCGCCCCAGATCACCTCCTGGACCACCACCTTCTGACCCACCTTCACATCCACCGGCACCTGCAACCGCCCCACTGGGAGCCGTGGCTTTTCGTCTACCTGATGGCGACAGCGAAACCTCGGAGGCAGCAGCGGAAGCATTTTCAATCTCACAGTTCGACAAAAATGACATCGAAATTGACGAACTTCTTTCGGCTGCTGAAGACCCACAACGAGTACGATGCCTGACAGAACTGGACCGTGATCATATAGTATCACTTCGTACTGAACTTGACCAGCCCACCAAAATCCTCTTCAACAATTTCGTTGATGAGATGTTCAATCAGTTGGCCAAACCCTATCGTACCATGAACAATGACCTCATTTTCATCAAAGCCAGTCAGGCCACTGTCATGAACATTGCCAAGGCCTTCGCACAAGCAAGACTACTTGACTTAAGTCTGGCAAGAAGAACACAGGCCTTCTATGTGGAGCCGGAGAACCTGCTGACCATCACGGTGCCAACGGGGTTATACCCAAAAAACCTATCTATCGTGGTGAACACGCGGGCACCTACCTGAGCTATCACAAAACGAGTTGGGAATCAGTTGCCAAAATTCTTGCTGAAGACTGCATACGCCCAGCTAGCTGGACAAAAAACGAAGCTGGCATCCCGACCCAATACCCGTGCTACGGATTCTTCGGCATGTCCTCTGAGATTGCGGACATCGATGACTTACCAGCATATTCAGTCAAACTTTGCACCTCCCAGCTCTACAAGATTGGCAAAGGACAAAATCCATCCGGCCTGCTGGCCATTTGTCGCTCCCCAAAATGCATGCGAGCCCAATCTGGAGGAAACGACCAAATCCAACGTTTGTGCGCTCTACAAGGCATAGCCAGAGGAAAAGACGGTGCTACGGCAATGAATTCCAGTTGCGCATCAGTATGCTATGTCGCTTCTACTCACTCGGTTTTCCAAGGGTTGATTACCCGAAATCCACAAGACGCACATGCACCAACTGCCACGGCACCACGCGAACCTCCAGAAGACCCACCACTTGATCATGCACCACCTGCACCATCAGCTACTACCACCGATACACCTGCACCTTCCAACCCACCATCGACCACCCACACCAGAGCAGCTGCCACCCACTATGAGACCTCGGATCACGCAATGCCAGACCGCAGCCGTCATTACTGGGACAACAATTCAACATGGGACGATTCCACGCATGATCATCGGGGCAACTCTTATTCCTACCGTGAAGGCCGTGCTCGAGATCAACATCGCGAAGGCTCCTCTCGGTCTTACACTTCAGCGTATGACTCTCACAGATCTCGCTGGTAAATACTACATCATTGAGGAGTATTTTTGAAACCTGTGCTGGCTTCAATGACGAGCACTATTGAGCCAAGTGGCCCCGACCGACCTTTTGGAGCAACAATGCTTCTCCCGACATCTCGGTATTCACCGCCACTTCTTCCGCCAAAATTCGTTTGACCTGCTGCCTGCGATCTCAATGATGTTATCTCTCAATTTTTATAATCTGCGTATTCTTTTCTTCGTTGCGAACACTCGATCGAATGGCTGGGGCTAAGCCGAGCACCCTGTGAGACACACTCACAATTTACACACTTTGATATTTTGAGAAGCTTCACGTCAATGTCCCGACCATGGCTGGGGCTAAGCCATTCACCCCACAGTGTCACTATACATCATGTCTCACACAAAAAATGGGCCTGTGACCCTTGTCGAATTGTATTTTCACCCTTGCCGCATATTTCAGTTGGCTTATTCTTTCTTCGTTCGAGCATCCCTTGGCTACTGTCTACACCATGGCGTCCCAGGGCTTGATTTCTCAATTCAGCCAAGAATCACGGGATATCCCTGCGGCACAATCCGATCGCTCACGCACTCCTCGACGACCTCATCATGATTGGCATCCAGGGGTACCTACGTTTCGTGGACCTATGCACTATGCAATGGCGACTCCTCGTCCTTTTTGGCATCCAACTGGAGCACCTCCTCCACCACCTTTGACTTCATCGTTCTCAACACGCCCCACGTGGACTCCGACAACACCACATTTCCCACCTACACCTCCAACCTTTTTACAACAACCTCAGGACAATGCAAACCTTACACCTCAAAGACACAATCTCACCCCGAGATCGCCGAGACCTATGTCATCACCTATGGGAACTTCGCCGATCCAGGAGGGCTACACTTGTCGCCCTATCGAAATTCCCCCTGTGGAACATTGGAAACCTGACGTCGACTTTCACGACTCCAACAAGGTGAATGGTTTGGATTTTCCGTCCAAAATCCGCCAAAGTCGATTCTCCAGCTACAAAGACATCGAAAGTATGGATCCTTTACAAGTCCCACTCTGGAAGTTCTTATATCAAGGATTACACAATACATGGCTCCGCCGTATCGCCTACGGCAGAGAAACCTTCGTTCTCCCATTTGACAACATCGGCACCACAGTATTTATTGCTGAATTGGTCTCACAACTACGCACACGAAACGTGGACTTGGACAAGCTGGCTACTTTCAAGTCACGCTCTGCTGGCCAATTTGTGAACCAAAAGGAAGCCACTCAGAACATGGCCAAAGAGGTTGCCCAATTACTTCAATCTTGGCTTCCAGCCCAACCTTCCGCTGACAATGCTGCATATAGAAGCTTCATCAAGATGCTAGCAGCATGAGGAGCAAGTGCACCTCGTTGGACTTCAACAGATTCCGGCCGAGAATCGGAGGCATCGGGCTGTAAGGCAACCGACGATCCAGGATCGAACTTTGTGGAACACCAGGGACATTGAACTGCATGTTTAGGATCCCCAGGTGCTGGTGCGCGCGACTTATGTTGCTTGGTCTCTTCGGGGAGACTAGGTGTTGAGACTTGTTTTAACTTGGTATCTTTCCCAACAAGTTCAAGATACTTTTCAACAGAGAGCTTTAAAAGACCCTCCATATTATAGGTCATGGTTGTGACCTCTGTGCCATCATGCAGGCGATTGGTTCCTTTGCTTAGCAAACAACCAAGATAGAGACCCAAATCAGTCTCTGGTTCAATTCGTAGCTTAGACCTTAACATCTCCCATCCTTTGGTGAGGTTCTGTGCTGGCCCAGCTAACTTCAGATCATCCACATAGATGACTAACAAAAGCTTGAGTTCCTTATGGAAATACATTGATGGCCATTCCTCCCCTACTGGCATAAAACCAACTTCACGGACATGTTTGTCACAATGTTGTTCCCACATCGTGCCCGCATCAGGATGACCATAAAGTGCCTTGACAAGTCGCACTACCGGTCTTCTGAACTTCCGGATGTCAACGTCGTCCGGCCATGCATCTTCAGGGAGTTCGACCCAACAAGGAGGTCCTGTAAGCCTCGCTTGAATATATGCCTGGATAGCATCTGCCAACTTCACATTGTGACCGGGGATACAACCATAGAAATCTGCCCATCGGGAGGCTTCAAATGTCGCTGGAGAGTTGCCGAGGTCTTGGAAGAACGCGGCTTCCCAGTGCTGATTCTTCACTTGGTTTCCAAGTAGAACGCCTCTTCCTTTGAACTTACGTCCAGGGCTCCCCTTTGGTAGCTGATAGTTCTTTTCGACACAAATGCCGTGAACTCGTGCCATGTGGACTTCTTTTCCTTCTCGTTTTGCTTCTGCCCACAGCATCGTATTCACGAATAATGGAGAAATCATAGACTCCCTGCTTGTGCTGTCCCAACCACTCATTCCTCATAGAAGCCTTGGCGTCCGGGTCTTCCATCATCTCTTTACGACCAACTGGCCGTGAGACCATCGCATTGAACAACTTCCCAAACCTCACATCAGTTTGACCGAACTTCTCACGATGCTCAAGGTCTTGATGAACACAAGGCATACAAGGAATCGAACTCACGAAGTGGTTGACCTTGGACTTGCCGTCGGAGTCTTTTGAGGTAGGAGCCGTTGGTGCAGCCTTAGCAGGTGTCGTGACTTTTCCAGTGTTGAAGTCATAGTGAACATCTTCCCAGTGAGCTTTTGGTCCTCTTCCAACTTCATGCTCGGACCATTCATCCCATTCATTCAAGAACTCTTGACCATCATCATCACTTGGGACGTTGGTACTCGTTTCACTGGGAGTCGCGGGAGAGGTGGCATTGAACTTCTTGATGTCGATGAGATCACTTGCTCCATGGGGCGTCGACGAACGTTCCCATGGGTTGCGATCTCGATTGTGGTTCAGTCTCGTCATCGGATTGTGGGGCGTAGACATACGTTCCCACTCTCCTCGGAGCGTCTCCACACCGACAGCAGCGTCCTTGCCACCATCTTTGCCTGAGCTCTCCTTCGACTTCTTATTATCCTTTTTCTTCTTCTTTCGGCTTTCATCTTTGGCTGGATCTTTGAGTGAACTTGAATCATGCTTCTTCTTCTCGGAGATCTCGGCCTTGGCCTTCTTTTCTTTCTCCTTCTTCAACTTGATCTCCTTGAGCTTCTCAGCTTCTTCTTCAAGTTTACCACGACGAATGATGACATCTCTCTCCTTGGCAGATAGCGCTCTCCATTCTTCAGGACTGTAGCTACTCTTTGGCCTTGGTGACCCTCGTACTTCTTTGCGACCATCTGGACCAACACGGTAAGGTCGTCCACGTTTGTCAAGCTTGACATGCTCACCAATGTCGCTGAGGTAGATGATGCCGTCACCAGGTTTGCCCATAGAGTGATGTTCAGGTCCATCATAAGGAGGTTCACCGTCAGGAGGAGGTAGAGGAGGTCCATCGACAGCTTCGACTCCATCTTCTTTCTCTTTGTCGAGTTTGATGTCCATTTCCCCCATAAGGCGATCGAACTCTTCTTCTTGATGTTCAACTCGGTTGGTGATCTTCCCTTTCTTGGGTTTGTCATCACCATCGCCTTCATCATCGTCGTCTCCATCATCATCGTCATCGTCTTGTTGATCTTCAAGGAAATCTGGTGATCCTTCAAGACGATCTTTCACTGCCAACCCTTCCAATGTCGTGTTCACCTTCTCATAGATGTCTTTGCATGGGAACGTCAATGGCAAGTGCACTTCGATCTTCTCAGTGAGATGTGGATGGCGTAGCTTGTCAATGATTGTCTTAGCATTGAACGAGTAGTTCTGCTTCGTCATGTCAGACAATGCCCATGCCATATATTGCCTTCGCCAGTTGACGCCTGGGGCGATTTCATAGCCCGCAAAAACACCAGGGATGCCCTTGGGATCGAACTTGTGAGCTTGTTCGTTGGCTCTGGCTCCACTCGGCTTGAAGTAAACCAATGCACCAAAAGGGATCTGGTCACCTTTGAACTCGGCGCCATGGAGCTTACACCATGCACTCACATCGTCTTCACCAGGTTCCACATTGAGTAGATGACATACACATCGTATGGCAAACTTCCAGAAACATGCTGGTAGTCCTGCCTCGAGTAGGCATGTTGTAGTGGTTGCAATGACGAACTGGTTGTTGCGCTCGGCAAGAGAATTTGTCGAAGGTCTTCCCGGCAGTGCGTGATCGAAGGGAATCTTGAGCGCCTCCATGCCTTTGACGAACTGTCTGGCTTTGTCGGAGTATGCTTCTCTAATGGTTCGTCTTCCCATGAAATACTTCACCGCTCTCACAACATCTTCGGTGTTCTTGGTCGGAGAGGGGTAACTCTGAATGATGCCGGTGTACCTATCTCGAATGACAAGAATCTCCTTAACCGTGTCGTAGCCCAACTTGGTCGTCTTGCGAGTATCCATGAAGTCAAAGGTGATGAGGTCGCCGAACTTGGTAAGCTTTCGACGAAATGCACCTCGATAGGTCTTGTGGTGCTTCATCTTGGCCCTTACGCAAGAGTTGCAGTAGGGGTTCTTGTATCGATGTGTCAACAAGTGTTCAAGAGTACGAGCTTCGTGTTTCAGGGTACCTCTCTTTGACAATCGTACTCCTCCATCAGGATCATCAACATCGATATCATCCTCATCATCTTCTTCTTCATGTGGTCCATGTTCAACACCAATTTCGTCTTCGTCTGGTTGATCATCTTCTGGAACATCATCATCAGCTGGTACTCGATCGTCATCATCATCTTTATCCTCGTCCGCGCCAGGAACTTCATCAACGTGAACATCATCGTCTCCTGGCTCATCTTCGCGGACGGATGGCTCATAACCATCATCATCATCATCGAGCCCTTCACCAGCTGCCACAGGAACGGTCTTCCGTCTGGAACGCTTCTTCTTCTTCTTCTTCGTCTTCCTCGGAGATTTCGTTGGTCCGTCGACGTATGTACCAACTCCATCATCTGATTCGGACATTTCATCGCCACTCTCGCCATCAAGATATATCGTTCTCGATGCTGGATTGTTGCCCATGAGACCCAACACTTTCATCACTAACTCAGCCTCATGGTCTGGTGTAGGCCTATAGTCCTTAGCCCCGAGGTAGACATACGGGATGAGATCATGAACTTCCATCCCAATCTTGTCACCCTCAGAATTGATCATGTAGGGCTCTCTCCCATTAGGCCACACGAAGGTGTAACCTTGTTCCATGCATCGTTTTCCCAATGACAGAACAGATGGGGTATCTTCCAACACATGAGCCCTTGCAGGTTCATTGAATGTGTCAAAGTCCAAGTCCACCATAGTAGATGTGGATGTGATGCCATTCGCAGTGTGGAAGTTAACTCGGTCACTTTGGTATGTGTCAATGTCCATCCGATCCACCCTGGTAGACGAGATAAGATCATGACCACTACCAGAGTCCATAATGAAACGACGGTCCTTGAGCTCGATCGGCATAGTGATGCACATGACGTTATCACGACGGCCATATTGTCCTGGAACATGAGGAATAACTTCCTCGTAACATATCTCAGCTCGAGAGTTGTTCTCCAGATGTTCAATGTTGTTGATCTTGAGCTTGATATCACTTTTGGGTCCCAGGATAACATGTACTTCGTCAACATCAGAGTATTCACCAAAGTCATCCATCAATATGCCAATTGCACGTGCTCTTGTCATGCCCAACTTGGATTGTAGTACCCATTGTTGATCATCCATGACTTCTTTGGTAGTTCTGCACGTCAATGACTTCTTCTGAGCTCTGGACAAGCTTCTTCTTGGCCTTCGGTTGGAACATTCCACAAAGTCAGGCTTCACGTACTTGATAGTCTCCACATGATCGTTGAACTTGACATGCATCTTGTTCTTCTTCTCAATTGGCACAGCATTCACGATGAAGTCATCGTCATATTCGCGGACCAATGCAGGAGTGGCTTTGGCGTCAGTCGTTTTTGTCGAAGGTGCCGCTCGTTTGCCCTTCATGCTTGGATCATGCTTGAAGGTACATTTGTCTCCCTTCTGACAATCTCCCTTCAACCACCCGTAGCAGTTTCGGTCCTTCTTTCCACCAGGAGTCTGCGATCTTCTCGGAGTGGCCGATCTACCATTCTTGCCCTTACCACCTTTGTCCTTCCTCCTATCCCAATGATATTGAGAATGGCTGTATTGGCATTTGTCACCATGTTTGCAATTGCCCTTGTTGAAATGGAAGTGACAAAAGGTCTTGGACGGATCTCTTGTAGAAGGTGATCTTGATCTCCTGCCACCCTTGCCTTTCCCCTTGCCATGGCTCTTGGGATTGCCGGAAGGTAGTACGGGAGCTCCAGGCTTACCTTTAGGTGCTGGGGCACTTGGCTTTCCGGTCTTGCCATCTTTTGGTGTAGGTGCTGGAGCCGTTGGCTTTGGTGCTGGGGTAGAAGGCTTACCAAGATTGGTGTAGTCCGTGGCAAACTTGTCCCTGGCCGCAATGTTCCGATCCTCACGTGCGCGAGCTATGTGCTTCTTCATGATCTCCAACAGTTCACCATATGACTTCTTCTTGTCATCATTGTCCCTACCTTTGAAGATCGTGAGGTCGACATGCAATGCCTGGGATCCATCAATCTTCCTCAATAAATGATCACGTAGTGTGTTGTCAGATGGAATATCCTCAGCTTTCATGTTTGCGATAATCTCAATCCAAGCATGGAGGAATTTGTCCATCTCTTTGTCACCACGATACTGCAGTTTGTAGATGTGGCTGGCATTGAACAAGACTTCATCTTTCGATGTTGTTCTGAAATGATCTAGCACCATTGCTAATATCTCTCTGCCCATAAGGAAATTCCCTTCTTTTCCCAGTACTTGACTCCTTTGTCTAATCCGGACCTTGACCTCTGATGCGGTCTCGCCAGCGGCGTCCACCATGTTCTGCAAGGCGATGGATAACTTGGAGTCAATGGATTGGAAGCGGAATTCACCTGAGTCAGCGAGTTCAGCATAGTCGGGATTGGGCAGTAGAGCAGGAGATAGCCATCTTCTCCACGCCGCTGTGTCAGGATCTCCTGAAGCAACACATACTGCTTGCACGACGTTTGAACGCCATACATCAAGATCTTGACATTTAGGCCATGGTTTGACGATAACCTTCTCGTGCTCCTTTCTGGATATTCTAGTTACCCAGTCTTTGCCATCTTGACCGACATCACTGTTTGCAACACTAGCATCTTTGCCATCTTTCCCTTCCCAAAGTCCAGGAGGATTGTCAGGAACGGGGTCGAACTCAGGGGCTTTACTGCCTTTCATAGACTCTTGCCCTTCTTCAACCTGTTCTAGCCAACTCTGATACTCCTTCATCTCGTCATAGTTTTGCTGAGCTTGTTCTTCAGATCGACGAAGCTTTTCACGAAGATCGTCAACCTCACTGTTGGCTTTGTGGCCGATGGCAACATTTGCACTTGGCGGTGGTGGTAGTAGAGCAGGATCGTGATTCTTTGTTGATGATGATGCTTTGGGAGTACCCATAGGTGTTGAAATCGATACTGCAAAGGAAGGAGTCTTACCAGTGGGTGCATTTGTTCTTGGAGCTAGGCTTGTCGGAGGCACAGCAGATGGGGGTGCTGGTACCGCGGCACTGGGCGCTGCTCTGCTCCATGATGCTGGCATCGATCTCATGGCCCAACTAGCATCATGTAGTGATAATTTCAGTGAGTCATTCTTCCTGATCACATGGTCACGCTCAGAGCATGCCGACCGGTACAGCCTCTTGTATCTATCTGCTTCCGCCTCCTCAGCGTTGACAAGGACAACCATCGACTCAAACATTGTTTGACCCTTCGTCTTTACTGGTCTCTCCGGGATCCGTCAATTCTTGGCTTGTGGACAACCAACCTTCCTCGCTGACCGAGACCCAGTACAAAAAATGGTTGAAGGACTTGAAACTTCCTCAACACAAACAAGATACTTTGGAGAAGCAGTTGGAGAAAGTGCTGGAATGGTGGCAACAGCAACCGGATGACGCGGCCAAGACGCTCCAGAGAGCCATTGTAGCGATGGGCATTGATCCTTGCAAACACAAGAATGCAACCACGGATGAGATTGTCCTCAAGGTCATGACGGTAGCCATGCTGATGCACTCCTGACTAGCTTCGTATTTGAATTCCTCTGGCTCAACAGCAGCCCGGATTATCCGAACTCTTGCCGTTACACACTCATGTATTCTTGTTCTTGCTTTGTTGACCCCTTTCACTTTGTCCCCCTCTGTTGATGTCTTTTTTGCTTTTCGAATGATCCAAACGGCATTGATGGGACAGTATGTATTATTACATCCACGCGCTAATTCGAAACTGCGGGCCTTGTTGAAAGGCACTCCGTTGAGGCGCATTTTCTTTTGCACATCTTGGGATGACTTGCAAGTCGCCCTCCAATGTTTCAAACACCCTCAAGCGGTGTATGTTCGTTTCAGCCATATTGCGACTTTCCAACCGAAGTTTTATGTGGGTTCCACTTCTTCTTTTGTTTTGGACCGTGAACACTCCCGCTATCGGAAATTCCTTCAGGTGCAACAGAGTAAATTCGTATTGGCCAAAGTTGCCCTACGGTTTTGCTGTCGATTCGATAACTTTTGGATGTGGTCTGTCTTTCCGATCTACACCAACAAATCCAATTTTTGGGCTTTGGAACAAAGCCTTAATTCAACTGTGGCAACCTCAATTGAATACTCCGTTTATTTATCAATTTTTCAATTGCCGGAAGGGACTCATCCCGCGGACCAAGTTTTTGGGTTCCCGCCAGTTTGGATTCTACTCGTTGTGGCGCAAACTACGATGGAAGTCCACCCCTACACGAGTACGGCAAGCTCTACAGAGTCCCATATTTGGTCGCCGAGTTCAGCTTTGGCAAATCATCCAAGACCTTGGTAGCAATTCGGTCAAGAGATTTCACATGGAAAAACGACTCCGCTCCAATGAGATTGGCCCACCTGGATGCTACTTCATTCGACGCCTTGCCAACAACCTGGGCGAACCTCAACGTTCTTATGCTATCAATGCCATCGACCGGGCCCTGACCTTCTGGAAAGCCAAACGAGTACGAAAACCTGTTCCACTTCGGGCACCTTGGCTGTTGGCTACAGACTGGACTCGTCACCTTCGACAACTTCTCACTGCCCACGTCCACCACACCAAGCACTACAACACCACCCTACAGACTCCTTCCACAGGCATTGTCTTCACAAAATTCCCCTCAGTCATGGACAGTTTATGCAATCACAAGGAAGCGGCTACCCGATGGGCTGACGGCGAGACTCCAAAGTGTGCATGTTCAGTCCTCCGACAACATTCACCTACTTCTCATCAACCCGATCAACACCTCGTCCTCGACGGAGACAACCTACGTTTTGCCGATGCACCTTTTACATCTATTGCTACGGGTTCACTTCAAAACAAGATCTTTCCACCATCCCACGAAATTTACAAATCACTCCGTTTAGCTTTGCAGACATGGACTCGGAGGAACTCACTTCCGTCACTACCAAAAGTACACCTTGATGAACTTTGGCACAGGTCTATCCAATCCCACCACTCTTCACTCCACAACCACATCACCCACAAGGACATTACACGCTTCAAGCAACTCTTCTCGGAGGCCATCTTTCACAATGAGGACAAACGGGCTACATCCCTTCGGATTTTTTGCCCCATGATCTACTACCAGTGTCTCACCAAGACCTTCGCCGATCCATTAGTCTTTCGGAAAATGGACGATAGCCCCAACCACATCATCGAGAAGACCCTCGCCGATATCACCAAGCAGTTTGGTAAATCATATCCTTGGGCTCTTGGAGCTGGCCGCGACCTACCGAATGCCTACGTCCTACCGAAAAGGAAAAAGCAGTTCCTAGCAGGAAGACCTATTGTTAGCTTCTTTACTGCGCCTTTCCGACCCATGTTGAACTGCATTGCCAAGATGATCTATCATTTATTACCTCAAGCTTTTCCCCGCAACTTGGCAAAAGGAGATGTATTTGACCTCATCAAGCTCCTCAAAGACACTGACTTTGACAGCCTACCTACACCACGTATCTACAATCAAGACCTCGCTGGATTCTTCCGATCGGTTCATCGACAGTTGGCTACTTACCTTGAAGTTCCTGTCCTCCATCATGAACACCGACCCCGACGAGATCATCTCCGTGAAAGCCACGACAGGTAACCATACAGGTGACGTTGTCAAAGGACGCACGTGCCGCACTCTGAACGTGACCCGGAAAATCTTCATCCGTGACATTGAACGCATCATTCGGATGTCCTTGAAGATGACCCAGTTCTCCATCGGCACTTCAGTCTATGAACAAATCAGAGGCTCACCTATGGGTTCCCCTCTGAGCCCAGCTCTGTGCATGATGGTCGTCGCCCTCTCGGAGGAGATCTGGTACCGAACCTATACCACACCACCCTGTCAACTATGGATCTCTCTGCTCGCCTACTTCGCTATGTGGACAACCGACTTTGCCTGGCGGATCCATCCTGGGACTATGACATCTCCTTCACTAACTTTTTGCACCCGGAGTTCTACGGCAATCCAATCATCTTGGAAACGGAGCCAGATCAGGAGTTCCTGGGCTTTTGTATCGAGTTCGAACCCTTTGCACTACGCTACAGCCCCCCACGCGACTTCAACCAGGTCATGGCACCATTTTCGGCATCACCTTTGGCTGTGCAACTATCTGGATTCGTGTCCCGACTTTTCCTGGTCGCCAAATGCGCGCACCCCACCCCCGAACGATCTCGAGGTTTTGCAGCATTGCATCGTTTGTACAGATCTGCAGGTTTTTCGGAATCCGATTTAACAGCTGCTGCCAAACCGATTCGGCGTTATCTTCACACGTCTTCGCTGTGGTAAAATCATTTGCTGCCGATTCGCTGTGCCGTTTCACTCTTCACGTTTCACCTCTCCGTTTATTTCTTGCCACTGGCATGCACTGACAACACACTTACCACATT